TGTCAAAGGTTGGGAGGTGGCTGACGATTCGGGAGGTGGCTGCGGGTTGACGAAAGGGAAAAGCGCGCCGCCGCCACCGCTGAAGACGATGATGGTGATGATGATGCCCATAGAAACTAAATTTCAGAAAAGACTATGCCTACGGAGCTGATGACTGATAGATGTGTCTGAATTCTTCAAGTAGCCTTACCTTTAAACCGTTTGTTTCCCATAAGCACCGGCTCTCCATCCTTCCGCTCAGCCTTCATCAGAAACGGCTCCGTCTGCGTCAAGACAAGATGGCGTGAAAAACGATAAGAAGACGTCATTAATTGTTGTTTGATTATGCTAGAGATAACCAATACACAAGATGACGTAATTAGAAATAGAGTATAGGGGGAGATTTAAAAAAAAATTACAATGATAAGATGATGTAATAGTTGGTTCTTTGAGTCAGTACAAGTTGGTGGATAAATGATACGATGACGTCATTACGCTACTCTAGAATTACAAAGTTCTACCTGCTCAGGCCAGGACCTAGTTTTGAGAATTTTGATGCAAAAAAATTGAGTTTCACAACATGTCAAGCCTTTTCGAATGCAATTCTTTGAATATCTTGATAACATCTTACTAATTTGATAGAGCATAATATCGGATATTTGGTTTCTGACTTCGTGGTTTTAGTTACTCAAAAGGACCAAAACTGTCAGATAGAACGTTGTAATCCTAAGGTAGCGATTAATTTTGTTTAATTACGTCAGTGAAAAGAGGGGAAAGAATATTTTTCTCCGGATTTTATTTGTTGTATTGATGATGATTGTACCGAATGAGCCTACCAGAAGTGGCTTAATTGATTAATTTTGTCCACATGGACCTTAGAACTAAACAAACAATTTACTTGGCGTAGGGCAATAGTACTAAGACTGTTTTCTATGGTTTTAAGGAAAAAACCCACAACATAAATAGATATGACATAAAGAGAAATAAAAAAAAATCCAATTCAAAAACATATGAATTAAACGGCCTTGATACTTGGAGAATTGAAGAGGTCTCTAACGCACATCAAAAGTTATAATAATATTATTCGATACCCATCCAATAGCAAAAAAACTGTAAAAAAAAAATTGTTACCAACAGAAAAAAACGGCGAAAATTTCCGCTTTCCCGGGAAGCACATACACAACATGACGTAATGGGGTGTTGTGGGAGTTGGAAAATAATTACAACGACAAGATGACATAATGGATTGTAATCTGAGTCAGGAAAACTTGGTGGGGAAAATATATGATTAGCTGTAGATTGTGTAAGAGTAGAGAGAAGCACGTGGACACAATAAGATGTGGAGGGAGAGAGAGAGAGAGAGAGAGAGAGAGAGAGAGAGAGAGAGAGAGAGAGAG